CTATTGTGTGGTCCGAGTCACTTTCCTGATATGCATTTAAATAAAACAAGAAATGCCTTTTTGCAGCAGCCCTCTCGCATTTCTAATTTGGCTTTGCAAAGCTCAGAACTTCATGTTTGTCTTATACTCGTATTCTTTAGTAGATATATATGGAGTCACAAAACCGGTTTTTGTGACAGCCACACGTATGTTGTTCACTGCTTCCGAAACCGTTTACTAAAACTTCCCATCATATTGTGTAAAATGTGATTTTTTATTAATGTATATTTTAAAGGTCGAGTATGCATGGCGTATGCAAAAATTTATGACTATGATCGTTAGCGGTAATAATTCCTATAATAGCATGCCGACACCGAAGCAGTTCAAGCAACTCAACAGCTAGAGCTGTATATAGCACATCACTGATAGCCTTGCAGAACATTAATTTCATGGAAATCAACAATAACGATTACGAGCGCTATCTTTTTCAATATACGCACACATAACCTTTGTTTACCGAAACTATTAAAGGTTGAGCAGGAAGCAATCATTGTATTTCGGGCCTGCATTGGCTAAAGTATTGATTATACATAAGCGGAAGTTGAGCATCTTTATAATTGGTTCATATACAGATTCATCTACTCGACAGCGTACGTCTTGAGGGTCACAAGTATAAGCATATATATAGGTCATGCGAAGCGCATTACCTCGCAGACAAGATCATGCTCCATTTTACTAGTTCTAACTATTTTTCCGAACATTAAATGCAGAATTTGTCAGTGTCCTTTTGCTAAAGCCCACATAAGCAATATCATGGTCATTTAAAAAAATTATTATTAATTTTTTACAAAAAATGCCGACAATTTAAATATAGTTTAGCATGAATATTTAATACTATAGAAATACAAAACTTCAAGTGTTTGTTGCTGTACTGTTGTACTAAAGATGTTGTTGGTGTTGGTGAAATTAAACGGAAAAAACCTATAGCAGTGCCCCAATTCTGATCGTGTATTGTGTGTTAGATACAACACTGAGCATATGATGCTCTAATTATAAAACTAAACTGGAGACAAAGAAACAAACATTTTAACATCCTCAAAAAGTTATCAATTGTATGTTTCAAAATATATAGTTGGTTTATGTTTGTCTATTCGCACAAGAAATTACCGTCCATGGTCTCTTCGGTTGCCCAGGAATTGATGATACCTAGTTATGCTCATGGAGAAAAATTCTTGCCAGTTATTCAATGAAATTATAAGGCGATCATTTCTGCAAGTATTTTAATTGCTCATAAAAAGTTAAGTGATGGTATTAATAGCTTTAAAGTTACCGTCATTTTGAGAATAGGTCACCGATAGCTATGAAATGAGACACGATCCTTGTCCTTAAACAAGGTCAAATTAATACTTCGTGCATACATATGTGCAGCTTTTCTGCTAGCCTAAACATATAATCAATAAAACTACAAACTTCTTACGTGGAAGCTGGTTATATATGGTAGTGGAGTTTTGAATTACATAGTTTCAGAATTTATTTTCCGGTTTATTGGTGAACAGATTGATCCTTTCATTTACATTTCTTCGTATTCGAGTGATTGCAGCTCATTCGTATATTTCATGACAACATTTTGAGTAATGCTGCCAGAATCACACAAAATTTCTCGATTATTGCAGCATGATCAGGTAATGATAAAGTCATTCAAAATAAATCTTGAAAATTGTGAAGAAAATATTTAATTTTGGGGATCGGAGGTAAAGCTTACATTCAAAATCGATTAATTTCATACAGTGAAGATATGACGCTTTTTATTATCATTGACAGAAACGAAAGATGTTTCTGTACAAGGTATCTTTTTTTTCGACCACATAAAGGAGTGGTCAAAGTCCAGTCTTTGCTGCGCGATCCTCGCCGGCTGTCCACGTCGCTCGGCCCTGACACATTCTGTAGGCCCAAGACTTCCTGAAGCGTTTTCAGGGGCCCTCCATCCCAACTCGTACACGTTTCGAATTAGGTACAGTCAGCGGGCTATATACACGTAGCGGGTTAATTTCACGTAGCCCCTCAAGTTCACGTAGCGAATTAAGTACAGGCAGCGGGTTTGTCACATGTAGCGGCATAAGTACAGGCAGCGGCCTATAGGACAACGTAGCGGTCTAGGACAACGTAGCGGTCTAAGTACAGGTAGCGGCCATAGGTACATGTAGCGGCATAAGTACATGCAGCGGCCTATAGGTATAGGTACATGTAGCGGCCGTCTAAGTACATGTAGCGGTCTAAGTACATGTGGTGGTCTAAGTACATGTGGTGGTCTAAGTACACGTAGCGGTATTCTGTAGGCCCAAGACTTCCTGAAGCGTTTTCAGGGGCCCCACCAACCCAACTCGTACACGTTTCGAATTAGGTACAGTCAGCGGGCTATATAAACATAGCGTGTTAATTTCACGTAGCCGCTCAAGTACACGTAGCGAATTAAGTACAGGCTGCGGGTTTGGCACATGTAGCGGCTTAATTTAAGTACAGGCAGCGGCCTATAGGACAACGTACGTAGCGGTCTATGTACAGGTAGCGGCCATAGGTACATGTAGCGGCATAAGTACAGGCAGCGGCCTATAGGTACATGTAGCGGCCTAATAACAGGTAGGTACACATAGCGACCTAATCACACATATAAGCAAATTCATAGCATGTGATTAGAAGGTATAGCTAGGAAATCAGTCAATAATTGGCTAACGAAGTTAGGAACTCGTACGTTTTTGGAGACATTAGGTAGCGCTGCATCTGAAGGGGAAACATGGCCTCCCTGCGTGTCAAGCGAGACTAAATTTAAGAGAAAAAAACTGCATGGTTGAAAGACTGATGGATGTAAGACTGATGATTGAAAGGTTCAACCATCAGTCTTTTGGAATGGTTGAATAAACTGATGGTTGAAAGAAAAAATTATTATATAAAACTGCAGTCTCGCAACGCTGCCAAATCTCGTACCAACCGAAAAAAACGGGATAAGGTTGTTGGGAAAGCTCCAACAGTGTTTGCAGTCAGATGAATATCTCTCTAGGAAAAAAGGTTTCAAATATTTTTAGGGGTTTTTCAGTCAACTAAACAAGTCCTATGCTTGAATATCAGGAAAACAAACATCGTTTGTAGGCTTAGGAAGAAGTCAATGCATGGATAATAGGGGAATCTGTAATAGAAAGTTTGACTGAACTTTATTGATTTTCTGTGTCTTATAGCATATGACTATCTATGAATTAGGCCAACAATTATATATCAATGTGATTCGTCATTGAAAGCGAACCCCGCTATGGTTATCATCTATACTTGCTTGATGCTATAGTACTTCTTCGTTGTCCTCAACGTACTCGACGAAACCTCAACGTTGTCCTCAACGAAGAAATAAAGATTTTGTGAGCTTACAGAACTTTAATATAACAGTAATTTTTGGTGTAACATTTCAAGGTGGTCTTGCAGAAGAAGTTTGGATAAGGGGTCTCGAAAACCTGAAGTTGCGTGGTGTCTCCACCGCCATCAGAAGATGATAACGTAATCCAGTGCACCAGGTTACATCACTTCTATTTTGCCCCGAACTACTCTTACAACTCATCGAAAGTTTTCGGGTGCATTACATATTTTGATTAATTATATATCTTGTTAGGAAACTTCGTTCAAACATCCCAATGAATCACTGGCTTTTTGCTTAAATTGAGTTAGTGAAAAGTGTAATGAATATTTTTTTTAGGTCTAACTTGGATTTCATTTAAATTTGAGCATCAGCATGAAAAAATTTTCAGTTCAATTTATGTTTAAAAATTTCTGAAATTTCTCAATCGCGAAAAGCCATTTTTAGTCATCCGATAATAATCTTGTAAAGGACTTTAAAAAAATTGCTGCACACCATTGTAAATTATTCTTGCAACTTTAGCATTCACCTTATTAACTGACTAGAGCTGTTCGGAAACGAGGATGGGTAGCTTTGAACAGATTTGCGAAAGCGGATTTATATCTATCAGAAATGTACGCAGTGCGTAAAATATGACAGGACTCAAAGATGTCAGAATACACAAGAAAAATCGATGTTGTTGATGATTCTGAAGTGTCATTAATCGTTTAGTTCATCACTGAGAAATTTCTAGAAAACGTAACAATGCTGTATGTAATCATGAGACTTTTTCTCTAATATCGAAGTTCTGCACAGAAAAAATTCGCAAATTAGAAGATATTTTTGATCGTATGTCTACTCAGTATCGCCCGCCTTATGTCAGACGTTACTCAGGCGAAGGTGTGCCACGGTGAGTCATTGTTCGTAGAAGCGTAGATCAATACGAAATAAGTTCAGGATTGCGGGAAACAAAAACTTTTTTTCAGTTATCTATGGTAAGTCAACCTAAACAACAATTCCCTTCGCAACTGTGGTACAAAGAGATAAATGCAGTCAACAAGTCTTAAGCCCTATCCACACCCGTCAATTTTTGCATGTTGCTCACTAAATTTCCGAACTGCAGTGGGGACTGGGGGGGGGTGGCTTGGCAATCACAGGCCAGTGGGTGTTTCTGGGGGTGTGTGTAGTGGAGACTCGTGACGTCATCGTACGACGGCTGAATTGAGGCCTGTGATTGGCTGTAGCGATGGGCTTGCGCTCTGTGCCTGGTGGGGGAGGGAAGGGAGAGGGAAGGTAGAGGGAAGTCTATAGATGTTGCATGAAGGTGGGAGTGGGATCATGTCAAGAGTGCATATGTAGCGTGAGTGATAATCATTTTAAATAAAAAATATTTTCTTGATTCAGAATAAATTTTATTTAGAAAACTGTATAGTATTCAACTCATTGATTACAATAAATTTTATTTGTTTAAAGACCAATGCACTATGTGACTCCTGACGAAGCTACGTCACGATGAAAGTAATACTTCTGTAATTTTGGCTACCAACTCACTTGGGAATGGCAAAGCAATAATTTAATTTTTTTCTGATGAAATTACTTTGTGATGTAAGGTTTCGAAGATCCGAGTAGGGCGAAATAAAACAAATTTTAACACGGTACATATATGTAACAATTTATTATCCAATTGTAAAAATATAGACATTGTTCACAAACTACATAACTGATGCGATGTATGACTGCACACAGCACACTTTTATTTCACCTCTCGTAACTTAAATGTTGCATTCAGCCTAAAAATATTAATTTCAATCTGGAACTCATTCTATAATTACATATATACTAAACTTATCAGTTTGTTTGGAGGTGTTCGTTGTTGCATGTCTTGGATTTTGACACAATTCATCGTGTCGATCACAGAAACAAGACTAAATAAGAATCTGGACACTTCGAGATGTGAACAACTAGACACATTGTAAAACAAGTAATATACATTTGCGTTATAGTTTACATCGTGATTGATAAAAAATGTAGTGTTATACCCATACCCATCGAGTGATAGCTATTGCTCCTATTTAAGAAACAAATTTAGTTTTCTTAGAATAATCAAATATTCTGAATATTGTAGCAGTTTCCTATCAATATATTCAGATCGTCGTGTCACAACAGCTGGAAGGCCGCGCAGCTAGGAAGCGATTACAATTTCCTTGGAACGGCCAAGCATAATCCTCCTCGCACCCTTCCAGGAAAGACTACGAGGTTCACTATAGTTTTTTTGGAGTCGGATCTTGCATCGCGTCAACACCGTTACCGTCGGCAATTCGCTTGCTGTGTACAGGAAGTTTGAGCAGGAGGCAGCGTTTAAATCAGCGTTTTTTTGTGCTCGGGTCAGGCAGATCCAGTATATACTAACTTTTCATTTCAAAAATTTAACTTGAATTAAACAAGGAAAGCATAGTTTCAGGGTTTTCGATCTAATGTATGTGTACCAGTTTATATATTACCCCTCCTGAGTCCAATCAACCATAACGGAATATTAGGTTATCAATGAAATAAGTAGTAGTGGAGTGGCGTGAAGGTTATCATTGATATAACTACTGGAGTGGAGGTTATAAATGATATAACTAGTAGAAGATTGAAGGTTATCATTTATATGACTAATTCTGGAGTGAATGTTATTAACGATATAGGCTAACTTATAGTGCAGAGGTTGTAGACGATGTAACGAGTAGCGGAGTGAAATGTCTTGTCACTGATACTCTGAGGCATAGGATTCAGATATCGGATTTCACATGTAACATTCCCATGTAGTATACTATGCGCAAGCTATCAAGAGGTAATTTTTAGCGATTTCCTAATGTCTAGGAAAACTAACATTTTTCATTTGAAAACTAACAAAACAGAACAAGCAGACCAATGATCTCAAATCCCCCATTTAACTATTAAAAGACAAACTTACGAAACGTGAATATCATAGTTATCATGAACATCAAGTGTTATGGGAGTAAGAAATACGTACTTCAGCTGCCGTCAGAGCCACTATCTTCACCACAACACTCATGTCGCCGCCGCCCCTCAAAAGAAACTACCAGTATCAATTTTGTTAACACAACTGAGCCAAAACTTTCTAGCGCGATCGAAAAAGTTTCTTAGTTATTACGTGGCAATCAAAACTTCAAATTCTGATTCTGACCAGTATTATGTGGTTCTTATACTGACGAGCGGCAAAGAAAGTGTAGTATCTACAGTGGAGATTTATGAGATTGACGGTTGACCATTACTCTCCAACTCCATGTTATAGAAGCCGACCATACAAAGAAGCTCGTAACCTAATATAGAAAGAAACTACACCACATTCACGAATAAACCAGTATACGCCGTGAAACCCGTTATATATTCTGAATACCAATACAGTAATTCCAAGCAAAAACAAAACCATGTAAGAAAAATAAATAAGATACGAGTTGTATTTGGCTTTCAGTCTTTATCGATATATAAGGAATCTGTTAAAATAATATAAACTATACGCAACAAAAATTTGAGTGACCAAACGTAATGAAACCTTAAGAATGAGGGGGTCATTTGTATCAACAACTAGGCTGTAAATCTTATGAAATTAATCTGGTAGTTAAACTTAGGACGTTGACAATTATTCTTAGAAACGAAACTGTCAAAAGGCCCGTGGCACGACGGCTGGACTTTCCGTTAATTATGAGTTCAAGCTAATTAGCTTTAGTTTTGCTCATGATGATAATTCATCGCTTTTATTCAATATTTGTGGGCTATCTTTCTAGTATTTGTGACATCTAAATTTCATTTAAATTTAAATGTCCAATTTAAAGTGTTTACGTATGGAATTGCTACCCCGAATTAGCTACACCGGGTGCTGCCAGCCCCATTAGAAAGTACCATAGGAAATGGTTGGTAATTATGTTGGTGATCTGGAAATTATTGATAGGACCTTGACAAATGAACTACTACATTCGCATCGCCAACAATGGTCGTGATCAGCAAACGCCAAAAATATTATAGGGACATAGCATCACAGATTACGTGAATAAATCCAACTCGTTATTGACGAGACGTTACTTGTCCCTGTCAACAGAGCAACATTTTTTGCACCGATGCAACAACTTCAACAAAGGCATGGGATATTTTAAAACAACCACTTCAGTTTAACAGCAATGTTGATCAGAGATGAAATTTGAGCTCATATTTTCTTACGAAGCGAATGTATCTAATATTAATCCTAAAAAATCATTCAATGACTGCAAATAAATAGACTTACCGTAATAACAATTAAGGAAGGTATGCCAATTACTGATTTAAAGGTCATGCAGAATCACTCGCCATCACAGCTCTCGTCGAATTAGATTGTATAGTTATATTACAAAAATTCCTAAATCATCGCATACATTAATTATTTTATACCAAAATATTCCTGATCACGACCAATCACAATCCGGCTTTCACCCATCACGTTATTATACGTATAATTCAAAATAACAGATCAAACAAAGCAAAGCAACTCGTTTTGTAATATTTTTAAAAAATCCATCATTTCTCGATACGAAAATATGCCAGTAATTTCGTAATTTTTATGCAGCATGCCAGGTTTAATGTGAAAGAACGTAATTTAAATTGGTGCATCTCGTATTATAGTTGAAAAATGTCTCATTTGTTTTACTGAAGTAGCTTCCATTCCGCATCTAAAACTGAAAAAAATCGTTCTGCTTCGTTGCATCGAGTGACAGCAATTAGAAGATGCCGCAATCACTAACCTTAACCTCACAAGACTGTACATGTGACAAGTTTAGTAATCTAAGAGTGTACGAGTACGCGAATAACACGACTTATGGACTTCATGCGAGTCGTTGACTTCAATAATTGCTACATATTTACTTGACAAGCTCTTCTTGATAGCAATCCGAAATGAAATTTGCAGTTTCGCTGAGCTGCGTAAGGCAGTTTTGTAATCCTATCAAATGATCGCGAAGTTGAGCTGAGACTTGGATCACCGTTTCAGGAGCAGACGACTGTACCTCTGAACCTAACCCTGCACTGGCATCTTCAGCGCTCTCCGTTGAGGTTTCTGCCAAGTCGCACTCTGAACTGCATTCGCTGCTAGACGAGGCGACTGAGATCATGGACAATGTGCTCTGTCTCCGAGCAGGAGCTGATTTGTTAGGAGCGTGCGAGTTCCGACTGGCTGGTGAGACGTTGTTGTTAACAGTGTTCGAGCTATTGCCATTATGCTGAGTATTATATGCAGAATTTTGGACGACTGAATTTGTTTCACTTCCAGAAGAATCGCAGGGACTGGACCATCTGTCTGAGGTTGAATCGTGTTGCGGAGTGACTTCGTCGTCGTCCTCTGTTGATGGCCCGTACATGAGATCATTCTTGGTAGTATTCAACAAGCAGTACACAGCGTAGGGATCGTTGGAGTTTTTCAGCAATTCCGGCACGGTTTTGTCCTTCATGGCACTGAAGTCCATGTCAAGCAGCCTGCCAACGAAATATATAGACGATGAATACGATGCAAATCAAGGTTTATCTGATCATATGAATAATGTTCTACTCAGGTTCAGTATCGTTAACTACTAGTGATTAGGGGTGGGGTTAGAGACGAGAAAATAATTATAAACAGACATATAGATGATGATTAATTTCGCTTTAATTTGTCTGAATTTTGTGTTTGAATTTTCGCTCTATTTTAAACTGCATCATTACGGCTAAAGTTCGAAATAAATAGAATTTTCGTGAACACAGGTTTGTCTGAACTCACCGGCAAGGGACCATGACTGTTTCGTTCATGGCATTGACGGATGTCACAAATTTCTGGACGGTTTTGAGGACGGATTGCGAAGAAAAGGTGTTGCTGTTGCTGCTGTGCTGCCGTGGGGGCATCAAGCTGGGAAAAACAAATAAAGGACCACGGTTAAAGTAGAAACTGCTCCTAGTAAAATAGTGACAAGTAAAATTCCTCATTGCAAACAAGAATTACGAAAAGGAAAAATTACGGAAATGTAAATTATATATCAAATATTGAAAAAGTTGATTAGCTAACAGAAAAGGACATACTGAAATCTTTCTTACGTAGACTATATTTTCAAATATTGAAAAAGTTGATTAGCTGAGAGAAATTGAAATACTGAAATCTTTCTTGCGTAGATTATATTTGGCCAACATAAAATTCCCGATTTCGACCCAATGAATACGTCACTTCTCGTAGGGCATATAATTCACAAGGCATACATCCTACACACGTACATAAATGATAGTAAAGAATAATAGAAACAGTTCCTATTGGTTGATGCGCACTGAACCGAACTTATTGCGCATCGCGCGCAGCATGAAGATTTTGGCATCAACCACGACTCTGAGAAAGACGCAAGGCCGAATATGACATCTATGTATCGTAAGGCGTCGACCTAACTCGGCGTATCCTTGTTGTCCTTGTCCTTGGCTTGTGAGTCCTTGCAAGCCGCAAGACTAACTGCAGCTGTCACATGGATATGCGTAGAAGACAGTAATAGAAACTTTTACAGAAATAATTATTGTTTTTGAGCCACTTGACCGTCCGCAAGAGCAGGATGTAAAATTGAACTCCTTTGTCAGAAAGAGCAGAAGTATACGAATTGCTTTCTGTAGGCATATTAGTATGCGATTGCTGCCCAATTGAGCTTAAAATTTCTAACAAACGTAAAGGTACGCAAGATAATACTTTTTTCAACGCATTCAGAAGAAGGCACGGCCAATGATCTCTCGTTCGATGTGATAATAAATAATGCAAATATGCTTAAAAGACCTAAATTAAACTACAGCAGTATCACCAATAATATTATTAAAACACTACAAAACAGCTATCAGTTTAAAAATCTATATATTGACGAAATATTCAGAATTGACGGTCAAATGATGTCATGCCAAAATACTGGGAAAAGCTAGAAAATTATTTAATTAGGCAAGAAGACCATTTTCATTAGAAACTTGAAATCAAACGGCAGTAATAATAATAAAAAATTCTATCACTTGATCGCACAAGGAAATAACAGGCAAATGGGCGACGGTTATAAAAATTCCTCGGCCTGTAGGAAATTCCCCATGCCAGAACGATCCCTCGAGGGACTGACCAGCATCCAGTTTACATACTGGGAACACTTCATTTCGGGGTTCGTTCCCAGTGTAGTGTATAAATTGCGTTGTAGAAAACGTTCTTTGAAACTTACTCGAGCGAAATATCGAGCGCTGTTTAACCCCGACTAATTAAGATTATCACTCTACCACAATGCTCAACATGGCCCTATCGTTAATTAGTTTACGCGGTTTAATCAAATAATAACCGTCGACAACAAAGAAGTTCATAAAGCTGAAAATGAGATAATCAATGTGTTCAGTTGCACGCTCGTATCACATGACATGATTTGGATGATAATAAAGTTATTATCCGATGAACGAAAAAGTCCGTCGAGGTAGTTGTTGATCTGGTCAGTATACGAATTATGGACTCATAATAACGTTTTGTACGAGGTAATATGTTACAGTAACTGTTGCTCTGATAACAGATTAAAATTAACTAAAAATTCGGTGTTTCTAAACTGTTGCGTTTCTATTCACTTAATTTGGGCGACTTGATAGACAAAAATGAAGACAGCGCTATATGTTTTTTCAAAAGTTTATGACCTACCAAAATTTCATGACCACATGGATAAAACGTGATGATCCATACCATCACGCTTCACATTTAAAGGGGCGTTCATTTGATTATACTTTATAGTATTGAGAAAGCGAACGCATAATTCATTTGATCTGAAATCCGTGGGTACATAACGCAAAACATTGTAATTTTAATATTATGTCACGAGAAATAAATACGAACACTAAACGGTGCGCTGGAGTCGTGGCAGAGCATGATACTGCAGTTCGAGGCAAAATAATTCGAGCTTTGTTCGTAGGTACCTAATTGTTAACTTAGACGCGAGTAGCTATTGTTTCGACCAAAGCAGGAAACGTGAAGTGTTGCTTAACAGGAGCCCTTCAAAATAAAGTGATGTACTGATGTTCATTATTGCATGACTGCTGGGGAACTACGGAGGCATTTGAACGAACGAAGAGTTCATAGTGTACATCCCGGTATAGTTTCATCAAGGCCATCTCGGGATGGTTTTCGGGTACGATGACTGCGAGAAAGATAGGAGATAGCGGTGCCAAGTGGACACCGAAATCAGGTCAAAAATCTCTCATTACGATGGAAATTTGTGGATTTATGAGTCATGAACTAGCTGCTAGCTACTCACCAAGATTTCAAAAAACTTGATGAGAAACACTGCCCTGAAAATGGGAACAATCCATTCAGCACAACAGCCCAGGAATACGACATTGGTATCTCACTATCTCAATTCTCAGTATCTGGCTAAGTTTTAGTGCATACGGAAATATTTTTTAGAGGCCTATATCAGCCATGAGCAGCACAAAGTTTCATGTTTGTTTCGCGATTTGAAACATCTTCAACTAAAATTATTGACTATCTATGTAGGGATAGCCGGATAGGGGTGTCAGTGGATTTAAACCAAATTCGATCAAACACGACGTCGAGGCAATCAATTGGTAATTAAAACGTATCACTAGCTATTAATATTAGCTGCTTACTAATATTATTTAAACAATGATTCTACTACAGGACAGAATAAACCAAGATATGCAAGATGACCTAAGTCAGGATACGGTACTTTTAATTGAATTCCTGACACGGACAGTATGGCTAACAAATATTGTACGCATCGGCACACGCATTCGAGTCACCGGCCGTTTTATTAAAAAAAATCTAGGCTATGAATGAAAGTGACCTAAGCCGAGTGAAAGATATCAGATTGTGCAGAGATTTTCATAGTTCAGTCTTCTTATAAATTGTCATCGTAAATATCACGATTCACGGGCCGCGTGACGGCGTGAGGTCAAGGCTAAAGCGCGAAAAATAAATGATCGGGATCTGCATAGCTATAACGTTATCGAAAATTCTCACGAAATTGACTGCCGCAGTCTCATCATCACCTATGACATCATTCCATTTCTCGATGTCACAAGAAATAAGATTGTTTCTCAAGAGACGGAAATACGGATTGAACAATTAGGTAGCTACGTGTTCTCGATTTGTCAATTGTCATCGCTTAAACATGTTCTTGGCTTACCTGGTGCTGTTTTCAGGATAAACTGTGTCGACGGATCTGAACATCCTGACGGCTGTTGATTTTCTAGATCGCTCTGTCATTCAATTCTTCGACGCTGCGACTAAGAAGTCTTTGATGTGAAAGATAATTCAAAGTACCTCGGGAGCCGACTTCAGAGGCTGCAGTTACTCATCAATTTATGCGGAATTATCAGTATTTCTGGTTAAATAGATCGTGATAAAGGGTCAATGGCTCTGAGGCACTATCACTGCCACTCCTGGCACAGAATGCACCTCCACTGACTTATTTAGTAACTGCAAGTTATTTTCTCGCGTTTTAACACTTGTCACTCGTACCCTGAGAGGCAACCATCTAAGTCAGATACTGAAAATTATATAAGCAACTCGAGTCTATTCACTCCTTGTTGTTGGGGTGGTAACTTTAAATAATAAGACTAAGCAGTTAGAATATTGCCGGTGAATGCAGGGTGCAGCTGACTACGGACAGACAAGCTCGCACGACCAACACTTCCGAGCGCCTTGTCGCAAATGCTGCGCTTGGAGACAGGCACTCGCATTATATACGTCTACTGGCTGTGAACACTCGTCTCTATCCTGATCAACAATATTTCTTAAACTTCTAATCTTCATCCATGTTATTTAAAGAATCCTTGCTATATGAGACAGACGGCATCATCGGCATGAGTATGTTAATTTCATGCACTGAAGCAAAGACATACTTATACAGTTATAAGTAATGTTTTTTAACATCTAGCTGAGTGAGTGAACTACCTTTGTGACCTTGAACTCCCACTAAGATAATATTGGCATTGCTTCTATCTGGAGGGTTGTTTTTTCACCAGTGAATGGGCCTAAATCGTCACAGTAGTATTAATTACTTATGTAAATTTATGCATTACAGTTAAATGTTGCATAACTTGTAAAATTGTTGTCCAAAGACCAAACTCAGTTTAAAATGTCATTATCATGTTATTTTAGCTGCCGCGAGATAGTCCTTTAATTCCCGATATCAAAGATGAATTGCTCATGAATTATTGCATGCATTATGAACACTTAACAAAGACACCACTGTACGCTTTGAAAGGATTTTGTGAGTTGCATTGATAATTCCTGATTGAATGGGAACTGCTTCTTTCGCATATACACTACGTATGTTTTGACAGTATATCAAATAATTACGAAGGCGATTGTTGATTTTGAACTATTTATTAAAAAAATAAATAATGATAATAACAATAATAGTAATATTAATAGTAATAATAATAATAACAATAATAATAATAATATAATAATAATAATATTAATAGTAATTATAATAGTATTAATAAATAATGAAATATATTAAAAAAACTGAAAACATCCTAAGTATTCGCGGCCTCCATTAACAATTAAAGGAAAATACTTCAATCTGAGGAAGACTTGATCTTTATTGCTGAAATAGTTCGCGGTTTATCTGGTGTTACACTCATGCTGATGGAGTGACTGTGTAGTGTGTATGCATGTGTCCTGTAGGCAGTATGGGGCAGAACTATCTAGAGCTGAATTGAAATCGTGACAAGGTGTTTCTGTAGACAATATATCGTGCCAGCGTTACCAATGCAGTGTAACGGTCTTTTTACCGACAGGGGCTTTCATCCACCTTGTTTTTAATGAGCATCAACTCTAAGGATAATATTAACGTGTCATGCAGTAACCATAACGCTTTTGTAATGTCATTTCCGATGTAACAATCGAACGAGTTGTTTATTAACCTGTTGAAATTTCCTTTTAACACTTCACCTGTTATTGAATTTCATTTCGTACAACAGTAGGTCGAAAAATTCGTGAATTATTCTTTGTGAACGTTGATGGCTGCGATGTTACGCAGGGAGATAAAATGTTTTATTTCAAAATAACATTCATCATGTATGTTAAACGGAAATCACGGTAAAGCAGTTCAGAACAATTTCGTTGTTACAGTAATAACAGTATTTATAAAAGCAAATGAAAACATCGTAATTCGTGCCTGCACGCCTTGTCAAAAATCAAGAGGAAATTTGAATTGGGAAATGGCAGGATAGCCAACTAAGCCAAGTGGTTGCAGTTGAGAGTACTAGATATGATGAATTTATTTGGTGCTTTCATTGCTGTTGATACCTGGGAAACATTAAATTTAAGCAAACTAATGATGTAACTACCTCTATTATCATGTAACTACAATTTTTTATTTGCAAATATTTAACGTTAATAAATTAAACGCGTGTCCTGTAACTATCAGAATATCGCACGTACCCTGCTCAGCACTTAACCGTACTTATTAATAATAATAATAATAATAATAATAATAATAGCGGTTTCAGCGTTTAGTAGGCCGTAGGCCTGTCGCCGATTCTTAACATCGCAGAACATTCACAGCATTTTGCGGTCTCGAACTCGCAACGCACTGCTACAATTCTGCTGTGCTTAACCGCCCGGCCTCCTCGCCAAATCTGACCAGAAACTGGCGCACAGAGCTGGGATCTTGGTGCGCTGAACTTTAACCACTGGGCCACCCTGCCCTATTCAGAAAGAGCAATAGTTATCTAGATGAAAAAATATCGATACAAGATAACGTGCTGCATAGAGTCTGTAGAATAGAATAGAAGTGTCGGCATTGAAGAAATAGGCCCATGGCCTGTTGCCGATTCTTGTAATTTTCGTGACGTGATTCACAAGGGATAGGCAATTGGAACCCGATCTTTCCATAACTGACGATTGATTGAGATAGCTAGATAGTAATTTGGAATCCAAGACAACTCTTCAAGTTAAGGAATGACTTCTTGAGTAATCATTCTATTAAGCAATAGAAGTACTTCTCTAACTGAACGAGATTAGACAACAACAATTGAGAATAAAAAAAAAACAGTGCTCCCGGGACTGCATAATTTTGTTCAGTTTGTGCTGGAACAATATTTTCTTTTATGAGAAAAATGACAGTTTTTAGTCAGTGCTGTTTGAGTTCTTTATGGGCAAATTTGAACAATGGGGGTGAACCTTTTCGCTGAATATAAACTGTTCTGTAAACTATACCCCTGATATCCCCCCGTAAATTGACCTAAACCTTTTAAAACAATGTTTTTTGATTGAAAAGATGACAGAAAAAAAAACGAATTCAGCGTGTTTTAGGGTATACTGTTTTCTAATTTTTCACAGGAACGACATTCTTCTGAATCGTTATATTACTCTTTTATCATATTTTATCAATCAGTAACAATATTTTGCATCTATCATAGTCAATCAATATTCTCATGAACAATTTGGTATTTTTTAATTTAGGTTCTTGGTAAGTTGGTAAAATTATCATATTTTAACTTGCTTTAATTATACTTTTCCATCCTTAGTCAAATTCGTCTGGCCCCTCATTAATCTGAAAAGAATTTCATTAATCTGACAAATCAAATGAATTTGAGAAAATATCCTCCTAGTAATCAAACCAAGTGTGTAGTCCAGCAAAAAGTTTGTCACCTACATATCAGGTATTGCGAAGTGGTATCAGATTCTCTGTTATTTATTCTTAAATCATCTATAGCAACAACCGATGTCATCAGTGTAGGTAGAACAAGTGACGAGTGTGGTTGTGAGTTTATGGAACACTGCGTATGATGTTAACTGATTCTTAATTTCATATTCTTCATTTATATTTTTCCAAGCTTTGTTCTGACGAAAATTGTTCACGTGAGTATTTATATTATGGGATTTATTTCGTTTTAATGGTGAATTTTGTTCTCTTAACTCAAGGACGTCAGATTCAGGAGTGTCAGGGAATAAATGTTCGAGAGTCAGCATCGTTTTGACTTGAAATTTAGGACGAATTTTTACTTTCAATTGCGTAACTTCCAGTTAGTATAGTATTTTTTATTAGTATTTTTTGCATGGTTAAATTTTCTTATTGCATCTATTTCCATGTTAAAAACCAAGTATACATGAAATTTGACATGTGTTAGCCTATGTATTAATATTATTATGTATATAAATAATATATTTGCTGGGACCAGGCATGGAATATATCTACTTGGCGAGCCGCGACTGAATTTTTCAAGCCGTGGTTTCATGGATTTGCCAGCGGTGATTCCATTTTTTCAAGCCATGAATTCCATATCTTGGCCATAAAAAGCATTTACGAGGCGTGCATTTATTTACAAAGTCCATGCACATGTTACCTACTTCAAATCTTGAATTTTACCCTAAAACAGTCAAACAGCAACAATAAAATTTGTCTTTACTGTAAGTTGAGCACGTGTTAATGCAGTCTGACCGCTTTGACATGACCGCAACTATGCGCAATCTTTAACAAAACGTTTAGTTGATTTGTTTACATTACAATGTTTATGTTTTTTTGCAGGATATTTTGGCAGGAATGGTAAAGCAATGCGGATTGCGGAAGTTGAAAATTTTATGAAATGACATGTTTGCAAAGTGCAAACTGCAATTTTTCAATCAAGCAAAAATTTATGACATTCAAGCCATGATATTTCATACCCACTGAAATTATATGATATTAGAGCCGCAATATTTCAGACAAAAATAGGACTTTTCCAGCCCTGGCTGGGACTGCTCCTGAGTCCTGTCAGTCCAGTCTCCAGGTCCAGTGCTACTGCGGTTCTGCCCTATGGCTACGACAGCTACTAGATTCCCAAACTGATAAATATCTACTCTTCAAATTCCAAACTGGCTACTTGATTTTTGAGATATAAGTTTATTGATCTTAATCATCTTATAGCCATTAAATATTTTTCATGCAGGTTATTGATTTTTTAGCCTTTATATTTTTACCTATTTTTTTACACATAGGCCATAATCATGAGTTGAATGGGTTTTTACCCAAACTGATGGGAAACTGCTGCCTAATATTACAAATAAGATTTTATCTCTAACGTCACGTTAGAGATAAAAGCACGTTAGTAGAGAGCACGTTAGTAACGTGCTTAACCAGGTTTAGAAATCAGGAAAATTTAAGCTGGAAAGTTAGAGCAAAAAGTAAGATTTTTCAATTTTGCTTGAAAATTTCGAATGTTTGAACTAAAAAAAAAAAATGTTCTGCATTTTTTTTGAGATAGTATGAGACAAAAATCACCTAATCTTTGGTTTGTTTTGAGTAGTTACACTAGTCAACATCAATATATATACACATATGTTGATACCTGATGAGAGGTTAATATGTTATCTCTTATCTAATTGCTAATGAAACCATACTAATGAGCTGCAAGATTTCAGATTTACCTAAGATACCGGTACATAACTTTGGGAGCAAACATTCTAATTTATTGTTATTATTACATTTAGTAGACTTTAGCAAATATGAATATGATGCAAAAAATTTATACATGTACATGTACATCAATACTCAAGAATAAATTGGTTAGTTACATATTTATTTTGACTGCAGATTTGAATCATTTGATGCATCATATATTGATGTAGGCTAAAGCTCACTGCAGCCAGAGGCTCCTATGTCATTTTATTAACTTAGCCAGTTGCCCAGTTCAGTGATGTACCAGCATTTAATTTTATGCCTTCAAAAGATGGTAATGAGCAATTTGTAATAATACATTTTATATAATATTCAAAAGCCTAAAGCATATATAGATTATTTTTTCAAGTCTGATTAGGAGTCCTTCTAATTACAGGGTTCTACAGTAAATTCCTGATTTGAAAGCTCAATAAAAAGAGAATTATTAAAGATATTACAATATGAATTATATAGAAAAAATAGATCAGTACTCACTGCAGTGAGTGACAGAGAGTGCATTTTCTCGTCCGTCCGTGATGAGAAGTCACAGACGGACCAACATGATGAGCACAATAGTGGTATTTTTTTCCATAAATGAGAAAATGCGCCAAAAACATTTAAGTTATTTATGTATTACTTAGTTTTAAAGATGACATTGGACAAATGATGGTCCCCATTGTCAATGCATTGAGTTTTTTTCAGTTTTCAATGCATTCAGTTGATTTTTGAAGTTCTGTTCTACTCGCTGAAGCATATTGATGTGAGGCACTCTGCAAAATGTTGTTTGAAATGACTGTATTGTGAAATAAGTACTCAAGCAATAAAAAATATTTTTACTGAGTTCCTGTGCCACCGACAATTCTTAGGGATGAAATTGCAGTACTTTGTGTAGTATTTGTACCACACTGCTTTAGAAATCCTGAGAATGGCAGCATGTTCAAGTGCTGAATGATTTGTAGAAAGCAGAAATACCTAACTCTCCATGTATTTGGGTGTTGTGGCAGTCCACTGACCTCCAGACCTTATTGCATTCACACTTCCATGTGCCCTAAATGTGTTAACCCTAATAACAATCAATTTCTGATTAGGAATTTATTTCAGTACAAAATGCTTGTTGAGTATATACTAGAGATAATGGAATGGCCATTAGGAATGTATGCCTCAATTGCAAAGGCATGCTGCTCACTTGTCCAATGCATAATGGTAACTGGCTTTGCAGGCAGAGCTGGGCAGCGCTACTTTGTAATGTAGCAGCCGCTACCGCTACATGCTCTAAATGTAGGGGGTGCTACCGCTACACCCATTAGATTGTAGCAGCCACCTGCAGTATCATACATAAAGAATTGATTTAAATCTTGGGTAAATGAGTAAATCAAAAATGAACCGATTCTAAAAAAGCTATGGTTTGCCACTATGGTAGCAGGTGCTACTGCTACAGTAAAATGTAGTGCCCCTACAATGGCCAAAATTATTGGAAATCTCTAAATATTTATTGTTCTGCTATTGGGATTTACTTATAAACATTTAATGATAATAAAAAATTTTCATAACATATCAATGCAACTTTATTGCAATTAACCTAACCGAACTAGTACGGGTTAGATACAGTAAATAAAAGTTAGTTATTTTATGTTTTACCTTCCCTACATGAAAAAATGCCTGTAAGTGGTAACTGGTAACAACTTAACAAGTAACAACTAACATGTTGACACTAGTAACAGGCTGAGGTTGACAACATTACACCAAAAATGTAGTGGCCGCTACATTTAGCGCCCTACTGCCCACCTCTGTTGGCAGGACACAAAACTTAATGACCTTGCCTTTCATATAAAATACTTCCTGTCCTTTTCCTACAACATCTGGCTGCTTGGCGTAGGCTTGATGGAGGCTGACTGCTACAACTTCCAAAATTTTGCAGGGCAAAAAAAAAAAATAATGAATAAAATTAGTTACTGCCTGTATTTTGATGTTATGTATAGCTCAAAATCAGCATTTGGAAAACCTTGGATTACATCAGGATAGCCAAGTTTTTTTCATCAGAAATGTTAATAGTTCATTTTTTTCTGAAATTATTTCATCTACATATTTTCTCTGGTACTGGTCATTAATTGATATTCATGGGTTAGGACTTCAGAGACTTCAGATACAATTACATGGAATGACCTTTCTGATCCTGTTAATTGTTTGGTATTAAAGGGTTTATTTAACATTGCTGTATTTAGTAGAAACCAAGTAGTCATGCATTGGCTCCCAAAATTCAGAAGATTAGGATCAAGTTTCCATTTTTATTCATATTTGTTCATCCTGCAGCCCAGCAACCTATAGCAGTGCAAACACTTACCTATATATTGTTATAAGATTTATTTATTGTTTTCAAATTGTTCAAATTTTTCTTTCAATAAAAATATGGAAAGCTGCTTAGAAATTCAGAAATTTCAAGCAACCATTCTATAATATCCAGTTGAATGAATTGAGATAAATAAACATAATTTAGAAAAATTATTCCTATAAGCATTTGTTTCTGCTCAAAGTTGAACAGATGCTCAACTTTGTTATCTCAACCAAATTTGGTACTTCATAATTATTGTCTACAATTTTGCAAATTAAAAACAAGTTACAACACAATTTATCATTCTCAAATTTCTAGGTTGCCTACAAATCCCAATAAATTTTTCAATATTAAATTGAGAGATGCCATGCTACTTTACTTGACTCTTTGTAATTATATAACAAAGCTTAAAATCAAAGTAAATGTCAACCTTAAACATGCCTGGGTTGGTTGTTAAGTTCCCCATCTTTGCAATAGCTGTTTTACTGAACTTATGAGCCATTAACAATCAATTATTTTATGAAAATTAGGCTTCTGAGGATGAATAGGCAGTTTTAATTGATGCATTTATGTAGACCAGCAACTTGTATGGTTACATTTTTGGAAGAATGTAATTTAGATTTTGCTTGCCAAGTAAATATCAATCTGATGAACATATTTCATATTCGGAGCATAATTAAATAACTTTTTCTTGCCCTGCTCATCCCTAAACTATTCAAATTATTGCATTTAACCTCAATTCTGGATAAAAGTTGGAAAAAATGTCCTCAAATGGAATTATGTTTGAGTATATGGATTCCTTTTGATTTCTGTGGCTTTACAAGGTCCCACATTTTACTGACATAAGTGTATTTATAGCAGTAAATTTCCTGTTCGACATCTCAATGACTAAAGTTTAGTGGGAGTGACTGGTACGGTCATCTCTTAAACATGAATTTCAATGAAATGTATTTTGTATGGTAATAAAATTTTGTATATAGCTTCATGATGACAGGATGAGGTGGGAGTGACTGGCGTATAAATATAATTCAAGATGCATGTTTCTATGAAGTGTATTTTGTATAAATAAATTTTTTATTTATACAAAATATATATATAAATTGTATTTAATTTTTTATATATATCCAAAATAACAGGATGTTGGTGGGAGTGACTGACGTATAAATAGAATTCAAGATGCATGTTTCTATGAAGTGTATTTTGTATAAATAAATTATTTATTTATATCCAAAATAACAGGATGTCGGTGGGAGTGACAGGCGTGGACATCTCGTTCAGCATGCAGCATGGCTTGGTCCGGGATCAGATCACCATCAACTCTTCTCGCCTCACTCTCAAAACTCTCAAGGATGAAGCCTGTAACTTCATCAACACTAAGGTGAGCCTACAATTGAAAAAAATATAACTCAGTACTCACTGCAGAGAGTGACAGAGAGCGCATTTTCTTGTCGACGAAAACTTGAGGTCACGGACGGATGGACGGACAGGCGGACAGACAGACGGACGGACAGACGGACAGACGGACGGACAGACAGACAGACGGACAGACAAATGGACAGACGGACGGACGGACAGACAGACAGACGTACATGGCGAGCACAATAGTGCATTTTTTCCATAAATGAAAAAATGCGCTTAAAATGATTGAGACTTGGTCGCAATGGCAATACAATTTTTGGCCTTTTCTGGGTCATTCTTACCAGTTAGGCTCGGCAAAAGAGCGTATCAGTGATACATCCGCTCTCTACTCGTGTTGTGAGTAAGGAAGTGCGTCACTATTTTGACGAAATGGCCGATTCATTTTTCTGAGTGTACGATGTGACGTCAGTTCATCATGTAATAATTATATTCATTGGTATTATAAACTCTCCAGCTGTGACGACTGTGATAAGCTTTCAGTATGACGTCAAACGTCAATGCATCACGTATCACATAGTCACATAACTGATCCAAGAAGCACTCGAGTTTCAACGAGGTTATAAGATTTTAATGTGGATGAAGCCTGTAACTTCATCAACACTAAGGTGAGCTTATTCTCGAAAAAATTAGATCAGTACTCACTGCAGTGAGTGACAGAGAGCGCATTTTTTCGTCGACGAAAACTTGAGGTCACGCATGGACGGACGGACAGACGGACATGGCGAGCACAATAGTGCATTTTTTCCATAAATGAGAAAATGCGCTAAAAATGATTGAGACTTGGTCGTAATGGCAATACAATTTTTAGCCTTTTCTGGGTCATTCTTACCAGTTAGGCTCGGCAAAAGAGCGTATCAGTGATACATCATGTTGTGAGTAAGGAAGTGCGTCTCTATTTTTGACCAAATGACCGATTAATTTTTCTGAGTGTACGATGTGACGTCACTATCACGTCAGTTCATCATGTAATAATTATATTCATTGGTATATTATAAACTCTCCAGCTGTGACGACTGTGATAAGCTTTCAGTAGTATGACGTCAAACGTCAATGCATCACGTATCATATAGTCAATTAACTGATCCAAGAAGCACTCGAGTTTCAACGAGGTTATAAGATTTTAATGTAGTTATTTTCTTAAGAATTAAGTCGTCGATCATTCAGTGAATCAGTGCCGGGGAATATGTAATCAATCATATTATTCATAAAGCGATCGCATGAATGACTTAGACAAGAACTCCACTTCGATTGCGCAAGCTATAAAAGAGTGATACTTCTCATTAAAAATACTCATCTTCATTTTAGCTTGGTCAATTTTGCCCAAAAAAATTTGAATTTGAAATCACTTTGATTTTAAATTTTCACTCCTGTGCCCAAATCACCAAAGACTTCGTTATACTTAGTGGCCAAGTGGCATAACTTGTGGGCAGATATGGCAGGACGCAATAAAATGATCAGTTAGTACATGTTGACTCTGAGATGTCGAGGATAATGTTGAATAGTATTGGCTATTGCATATTAATGACCCATCCGCCATAATGATTAAACCCATCACTCTTCTCCATTATTCCAAACGCTCTGACTTCTCAAAAACGTAAACTTCATCGACTAAACGAATAAATTATATGAGCAGAATTAGAAGCAACTTATTTATTCGTATTATTTCAAGCAAAATATATTATTTAATCAGGACTACTTTATTGCCTGTAACTTCCGTGCACGCAGTGTTTGTCGAGTGCCTGCCTGCGCATTAGATCTGCGCGATGACCGAATTTTCTGGCAGTAATTCTCACTTTATAGTTAGTTTCCTCAGCAAAAGTTCTGATTCAACATAACTCAGAGAACACAATTACTGAGCTCACAATTCCCCATGTTTTGCGCATTTCATTTGCATCAGCTTGTTCGTATGTGGTCTTGATGTTACTACTCGCAAATCGTTATTGCGTTTTCGGGGATATTTTCCATCAGAATATGCCGAGTATTTTGGCTTATAATTTCGTTGAAATCTCTCGGGCAGTCCAAAGTGTACCGTACTGCTGTACTATAGTATAACGATATGTTCTATATTACATTTGCTTTATTTGCATTATAAAGCCGCGATAACTTAGCTGCGAAGTTGAGGAATCCGTCAGATCTGATGGAATAAGATATTACCGTAATTCATTTTTCCTTATTTGAATGTCAGGTATACTAATCCAGTAATCCAGATACTAATAGTACATTAAACGACTGCAGCTTTGTCCATTAGTGCATTATAACTCAGAATATTTGAGCTTTTCTTATCGTGACTAGTGATAGGAAAGAAAAATTTTTCGTTAGGCCGGGTTTTATTTCCCAAATTTGAACGAATGTATGTTGGAAAATATGTCACTTTTTAATTGAACATATTTTATCCTCATGATAAAACTACTGCTCGCATTATCTTTTTTTCAGACCTTAAAAAAAATTACATTATTTTTATGGGGTGGTGTTTATTGAAAAAGAAGAAAATTTCTAATGAAACCGTACGTAGTTTAGTGACCCTCGCCACTTCTCGTGAGCACAAAAGAACATGTCAAGTAATTTCGCCTGATTTGTCTAATGCGAGCATCGTTTTTTAGCGCAAATTATTTGTATTCTTCATAAAATTCGCCGTCGTTGTCTCAATATCACGTGAAATATTTTTCATGAATCATCTATCTACTTGGATGTGTGGATAATTTTTAGCGCATTTTCTCATTTATGGAAAAAATGCACTATTGTGCTCGCCATGTCCGTCTGTCTGTCCGTCCGTCCGTGACCTCAAGTTTTCGCCAACGAGAAAATGCGCTCTCTGTCACTCACTGCTGTGAGTACTGAGTTATATTTTTAACTTATATTCGATGGATTTAAGATACCGGTAATTTTTTTCTACTGCACCAGCAGCGTGTATTGTAAAATAGTATTTTATAATACTCTTTATCTTGTTTCTAATTATTTTAAAACGTATCGTTGACGTCAAATTATCGTCAAGCTCCCGTTAACTATGACCTGCATTGCTATAGGTGAGCTGCCCTAGTGCTGCCTGTACTAGTGTCAGGGAATCTCTTTATCTATGGAGATTAGATTACGTGATTGCTATCGTTCAGTGTGCCTCGATCTTTTAACTGATAATAATTGAAGTGAAAAAAATTGAAAAGTGCAAGGTTCTAAATTCACTCTTAAGCGACTGAAGTTTGATGTTGGAGACGGTTCATGATACTTCACTTTGAATTCATTCTTCACTGTTGCATTAAAATGTGATCTTTGATTATTCAGGTTGCAACTCAGTGGTGAGCGAAGTGTTTTAAGATCGTGATCGATATTACTATTGCCATTGTTCGGGCCGATTGGATTAACTGCTTTCGATTTTGAGAGTATTTGCGTAAGAATATTGTTTCGTACTTTATTTTCTGGCCTTAGAGATTTGAATTTTACGATCATGATTGAAGTGATAAGTAGTCTTTAGGCACGATAATGAAATGGCTAACCGTTCGTCGATCGTTGCTGTGAAACTTTTAATCGATATAAATCATAATTGAAACTAATAGCCGGGTATTCTTAGGGATACACCGTAATTATGCTTGGAACGATCCAATGTACTAGATGACGAAGAGGTGTGAAAAGTTGATAACTGCCTGGGCATGTTTTCTATCTATATCAGTTATTATACGTAATGCCTGCAGCTCATATATATGGGATAATTAACATTATTATTGGAATATTTGCTGTTATTGGTGACTCTTGGTGTCATACTAATAATGGTAACATTCAGAAAAGTATCAAATTACATAATTAGGCAAATAATTAAAATATGTCCGAAACCTTCGGTCTGCCACAGTATATAGATCATTATGTATGTATGTGTTTTGGACGTGACAGTCCCATGCAGGCCACGACTGATCGCCGCTTCTTAAATAATGTAGAGTAAAATTTTAAGTAGATGTGGAACGAACCTTCAAAATAATTTTTCGTTCTAGTTAAATGCACTTGCATATTAGAATATCCGCATATGAAGTTTTATTACACAAGCAAAGCGGTACTAATCGTGAATAAATCTCTAATAAATCACCATTTATGACAAACTTCTACTTGATTTTGTACTGGTACTCCGTTACACCATGACGCGTGATTCCACTGTATTTTCCACTATGGAATCAATCTTTTCATAGCCATTTATTTCTATGTTCTGATTAATTATGGCGCTAAATTCTTACATATACCGTCAACTGGGGTGACATGGGCCACTGGGGGTGACTTCGGCCACATCTACAACAGAAACAAATGGCAGAAAACAAAATAATAAACGCTGGCCAAAGTCATCCCAGTCACTTTGGCCAACGTTTATTAATTTTTTTTGCTGCCATTTGTTTTTGTTGTAGGTGTGGCTGAAGTCACCCCAGTTGACGGTACTTAATTAGATGGTAATGTTAATACAATTCTACCTGTCTCTGTGTCCAATTTACTTTCCCTATAGTGGTGTATCCGCAGCACTGTTTTAACTTGAGGGTAATTTATAGGAAGTCTATTTTCAACCGACAATACCGCACTTACAGTTCGGAAAGTCGGATAATTGTTTGGGACTGAAGTAAGTTAAAAAGCTTTGTTTCCTTATGATTATTTATTTCTCGGAGTTGCCACTGACATTCGAACTCATTCGAGCCATCGATGTGAAAGATTCGAGCCATCGATGAATGTTCGCGACTTCGCGTCGATCGACCCAAATGTACTGTTCAGTTGAAATGAACTTGGCGTAAAAGTAAACATCGCAAATAGCATATTTTACCAGAACTCGGTTGTGAACCATCCATTTATTAAGTACTTGATCTCGTAGTTTATGCATTTGTGTCGGTAATACAGATCCGTGCAGTAAGTGAGCAAGCATCGAGTTACACCACCGCCCCGTTAGTGCGGTAAACGCCGCGTGTACATGACTAGCCGCCGATGGAGTAACATTTTGTG